GGCTGCTCCTGTTTGATGCCAGGGCTGGGCTGAAGGTTGAGGTGATCTGTTCAGTCATGTCTGTAGTAAATTACTTGGGAGATGAACAGCAAAAACAACAGGGACTAAATGACTTTCTCCTCAGTGGTGATGTGTAAAACTCGGCTGGGTTCCAAGTGGCGCTCGGTGCAGGCAGAGGAGGGATTTAAAGCCAAAGCTCCTTAACGCAAACCCACACCGGGCGCACCTTGCTGTGAACACGGGATGTCCAAGGGCTGGGGGAAGGCAGCAGGGAAAGGGTCATTGTGCTGGGTTGTTTTGCACAGCTCAGAAGTGCTTCTGCCCTTGCTATAGGACATCCTCGTGCCACCAAGACCCTCACAGCCCACCCAGCACTGCCTGGACCCGTGCTCACCAAGCAGCAGAGCCACAGTGAGCCTCCAAGGCCAGCATCAGCTTTATAGTCATCAGAAAATCCCAACTCTGGTGATGCTCCAACCCCATTTCTTGACACTTTATCTTCCTGGCATTTGCATTTTAGGGTGGACTAGGTTAAATATACAGGGTGTTCAGCCTGGAGAAGAGAAGGCTCTAAAGAGCAGCTCCCAGTGCCTAAAGGGGCTACGAGAAACCTGGAGAGGGGCTTTTGACAAGGGCCTGTAGGGACAGGACAAGGGGGAATGGCTTTAACCTGCCAGAGGGGAGATTGAAATGAACAGAGAACCCACACTGAGGGAGCCACTGGGCTCATCTCTGACTGGTCCCAGCCCTGAACGGGGCAGGAAAGGATGAGCAAAGCCCCTGCTTCCCCAGCCCACAGTGTACACATTCCTGGGGAGGACATGGAGAGGGGCAACCACCCAACCAGGGGCTCTCACCGCAGTAACAGAAGCAAATGTGAACAGTGCAGCAGCTGGGAGTTGCACGACAGCATTTGCTGCCCTTTCCTCCTCTGTGTCAGTGGTTAACGGCACAGCATTCCAACCGCCACCAGCAATAGAAGGTATTGGAGCCAAAACCGGAATTTTTTATCCCACAGATTCTCAAATAAGTTGCTTAATTTTTAATAAACTCGGCTAACTCCTGCTAATTACCACACAGCTCATTTAACCAGGAGCTTTCCTTCCTGTGCGCTGAGCAGTGAGAACACAGCAGATGGCTCAAATACCATCTCCTTCCTAAAGGTCCTTCCCCTGGCTGGCGCATCCCTGTTTCCTGCGGGGCTCTTCCGCTCCCACGGGCTCCTGCTCTGGCTCAGCCTCTGCTCCAGGGCAAAACCCACATACACGGAGGTATCCACCGTGTTCTGCAAGGGCAAGACCTGCCCTGGGGCTAAAATGAGGAAGAATAGATGTGTTTGGGGACAGGCTGCTGAGTCAAAAGTGTACGGCGAGATAAGCCAGTGCTCATGGCAACTGGGAACTCCTGGATAGGGTTAAGTTTTGTCATGTTTCTTCTTATCCCTCTCCACCTGCATTTGCTGGGTGAGTGGACAGGCTCTGGAAAGGCTGGGAATGCTCTGGATTAGGATCCTGGGGTCAGTGCTGGCCTCAGCCTTTACTGTAAGGGATTTGATGTCCTGCAGCAGCATGAGGGGTCAAGACACAGACCCTGAACCTCACATCAGGCCCTGGATGCTGAGCCCATGGTGCTCAGCCTTGCTGAAAGTCAGCACAAATGGATTTCACAGCAAATAAAAGTTAAGGGATTTAAAATCTCTGTTCCCACTAGGAATAAACCCCCTGGGGTGTTTAGAAAAATTCAGCCCAAGGCACTGAGAAGGGCTTTTTGCTTGCTTTGGCTATTCAGCCGTGGCAAAGACTCTACAAAACACATGTCATTCCAGGTTACCGGATCCTTGTTGGATTCAGTTCCTATTTCTACTGCATTCCCAGGAGACAAGCAAACCCACCAGCACCCCTCACCTGCCCACTGATGCCCAAAAACCTGCAACATTTTGCTTGCCTGTGGGTTTTGACCCTCATTTACAACACTGGTGGATTCTTTAGGAATTATATTAAGCACAGGAAGGAGAGGAACTGCTTGTACCCTACCAGCCTATCTTCCACATCCATAAAACCAAATACACCATTACCTCCCCACTGCCCAATTTTCCAATCAAATTCCAAAACTACAACACCACTTTTGGGATTAGGGGAAAATTCCCCCAAAACCAACAGAAAAGCTTTGGCTCCAGTGCAGGCAGATGATGCTCTGAGCATCATTGTGCTGCTCCGCATAAATCTGTGCGAGGCAAAGGGGGATAGAGCGAAAGGCTCCACCCAGGAGGTATCTCCAGACTTACTTCATCAGCTCTGGGTCTTCTTTGTCATCCTTTGTCGGGGTGATCTTGATCCCACTTTTCTTGGCACGAGGGCAGCCTGACAGACTGTGGTTAAAAAGAGAAGAAAGGCCTGTCTCACTGGCAGAATCACTGCATTTGCTATTCCCCCGCTTCAGTCAGCTTTCCCTTGCATTTGGCACAGTGTTTTTGATCTCCCTCGTTTTGCAGCTTCACATCACGAGGAGAAGTCAGGAGGAAAAAAAAAAAGATAATCAGAAATTGAGGGAGATGGACAGTAATTAATGGTGTCTAGATAAGAAGATCTCTGCTAACAGCCTGTGATGTTTAATGGAATTGTTGAAACAGAAGGCTCAGATCTCTGCTATTAATGCTCTAAAGTGATAATAGAAGTCATAAATAGGTAGCATTATTAACAGGAACATTGCATCAGCTAAAATCTGACCCTTTGTCTTTTATTCTGTTGAAAGGAGCTTCTAATCAGATGCTGGAAACATCAGGGGAAAAAAAAAAAAAGAGAAGTCAGATTAAAGAGATGAAAATAGGCTTCAGTTGTCAGTAACATTAATGTTTTATTCAGAACTTTACAACTCTGCCCACTGCAGGGGGGAGAAACACACACAAAAACCCCAAAAATCAAAACAAAACAGAAAGAGGCTACAGAGAAATTAATTGAAGGGAGATCTTACCTTCTATGCGATGCATAATTTCCTGTTATGTGACCAGAGCCATCACAACCAGGAGTAGGGCACCTGTGGAGGAAAGGGAGGCTCAGATTAGCCTGAGGATGGGAGCAGGGGATCGGTGCTTGGCGACAGCTCATTGCAAAGAGAAATCAAGGGACTGTCACACAGAAACATGTTTTTCATCCTTCCCCTTCTCCCTCCCTCCGAACAAAGTTTGGTCTGGAATATCCACAGCACCAAAGTCAATGTGTCACTGCATGATGGTGGTGATGGAGAGGAAAGTTGGTGGGAAGAGGTGGGATGTTGGGAGTGCAATGGGTGGCTGCTCTCCAGTGGACACACAGCTCCCAGCTTCTGTCCCCCCATCACAAAGGGGACAGCTCAGGAGACGACTATAAGCCAAAAAAAAAGACCTTCAGGACAATGGATGTCACCTTGAGGAAGCTGTATGGAAGCAGCAGATGCCATCCATGGCCATTGGGCTGGATGTAAGCCTAAGGAGAACCCAGAACAATAGCCTACAGCTCTGCACATGGGAGTCGCCTCAGCCACCACCAAGAGGAAGCCACCTCTGGCCCCTTAGAATGAACGGAGCAATGATTTCCACAGATGCCTTTAGTGTTGAAGCTTGGAAAGCAGCCTTTTAACATGCCCTCTTGGGGTTTTTTTGTCACAAAATACCTAAATTCTCCTCTTTGCACCACCTCTGAGGAGGGTTTGGCATTTGTGAGGCAATGAATAATCTCCATTGGTGAAAACATTTGGCACCTCACCTAGGGTGGGAGAGCAGGAACATACCCTGGCGCCAGAACGGGCAGGGAGACCAAGTGAGGAGCAAGACCCAGGAAAACACAAATACACACGTCTGGTGCAATAAGAAAAGGGACACATCCGGCAGGACCTCAGTGAGGGTGCAAACTCTCCAACTCATTTGAAAGTACAGGTTTAGGAGATGACAGTGAGATTTCGCTGTTATGTGCTGTTAAAGTAGAAAGCAAAACTACTTCTGTGTTGTTCTTGCTTCAGGGCGGGATGGAATTATAAACCCACTCCTTTTGCCTTTCAGGACTTTTAAGAAGAGAAGTGATTTGATTTTCATTTTTAATTATCTGGAGACAAATCATACCGAGAGAGACCTTTTATTGCATGTTCCAGCCTGGAGCTATTTTTTTTATACCAGGTATATTAACCCCTGAAATAGAATTTATAATAGAAACACTGACATGGCCTTATCTGAAGTTGTGAAAAGCTCTGGCTACGCTATCTGCAATATCTAAAAACTTCCGTCCCTCCTCTGCTCCCATCCTCACCAGGACATAGAATAAAGAATAGTACTTGGGAAATAACATTTAAAGGCTTTGTTTTGTCCAGAATTCTCCTGCTTTATACAGTATTTTGATACAAAGCTCTGACATTGGGTGCCCAAGGGGAGCAGAGGATGCTGCCCGCTAAGACTTGGTGTGATGCTCTCTCTCAGGACCAACCCAGTTTGCTTTTTCTCCATGTGCTTACAGGCAATGGGCACTGTTCCTGAGAGCTTTTAATATCTTTAACACTAATTGCCTGATCACTGGCTATTCTTTAAGGCTGTTGCAGAAACACCAGTTCAGCAAAGCTCTCTTAAGAGGTTCTTTCAAAATGTGTATCGTCTATAATGCATGATTAAGTGTACTTAGTGCTAATCATGCGAGTCCTTTCCATCCACTGGCATATTCTATTAATATCAACTAATCCAGCTACTTTTCCACCTCTGTGATAAGGAGCAAGCTCTTAACAAGCATTTTTCCTGGCCCCAGCATTCACAATGGTGGTGGAGTGTGGAGCAGTCCTGGCCCCATGCTGCCTCCAGGGCACCAAAAAGGGATCTGGGACTTCACCAATCACCTTAATGTCCAAAGGGGCTCCCGCCTGACTCTACTACAGCTCCAAACATCACTGACAGCATACAGGACACAGGGCATTGTTGGGGTTTATGATGAACCTATGCAATGTGGAGTCCTCCGTGAGGTTTTCCTCTTTGTAGAGGCTCTTCAGCTATACCTATGAGTATTTTGGTATCTAAATAATCCCGAAATTGGATTCAAAGCATGGGGCTCAGAGGAGAATTGGCTTCCAAAGGTAGGCTGGATCCATGGAAGAGCTGTTGAAAACAAATCTAAATGAGGTTTCCCCCAAAGATGCAGGTTGGGTGGAGGAGATTTAGGGTCCCACCGGTGTCTCCATCTATTTTAAGTGTCATTTCTATTAAACCTCTCTTTAGGGGAAGCAACCTAAGAAAGCATTTGGGAAACCTCCTTGTGAAGAATAAGCTCCCACTGAAAATGAGGAGTTTGGGGAAGATAGCAGCAAAGCTGCCAACAGGATTCCAAGGAGGATATTTGAATGAAGGTGTCAAAACCAGGTTCTTCCCTTCAGGAGCAGAAATGGGAATACAGGAATTTGGGTGCCCGTGAGCCCTTTGCCACCAGCTCAATGTCCAGCCTCACTGAGTGTGTCCTTGGTCCCTCAGAAATCTAACTCCCATAAAAATTAATAGGAATCTCTGTCACTACATCCCAAATGCCCCCCAAAATTGAGGGTATTTTCCCAGCTGTGCTTCTTCCCAAAAATAAAACGTGCCTTTATCTGGGCTTCGGATTATTTGAGACATATACAATAGTGTTGAATGAAAAGGGTTATGACACAAACTAGGGAAAAGAAGCCAAATGAAAATAAAAAGGAAATTTCCCAAAGGAAATCTGCCGGGAATCCAGGTTATTTCTTATCACTGCCCTGATCCCCCCTCCCCAAAATAAGCCTTTCTGATGCCACCGCCTCTTCTCAATGCAGTGGCTGGAGGTTGGACTCCACCACTGCTCCTCGCAGGTGGATTTTGATTGGCTTTTTGAAAGGAGAAGGGAGGGGATGGAAAAGCAAAAGCAGAGCAAGAGGAGGGGGGGCAGGGAGGGAGAAGAGAGAAAAAAGGGTGGAAATAAAGAAAAAAAGGAGTTTCAAGTTGAGCGCAAACATACTTGAGGTCAGCAGAGTGGGCAGCCATGAGGTTTCTGAGGCTCTTGTCAGCAAGAGGACAACCAGAAAGGCTGAAAGAGAAGAGATGGAATATCTGGATAAGCAAAAAAAAAAAGGGAAAAAAAGGAAAAAAAAAAGGAAAAAGAAAAAGGGCTGGGGAGGGAGAGGGGCAACAGAAGAGGGGAGGAACCAGAACCAAACTATCCACGTGGTCAAAAAATACACTAAAGCACAAAAATAAAGATGTCTGTAGAGTCCAAACCATGGACAAAAGGTCGACCCACCTGCGGTGAGAGGCATAGTTTCCTGTTATGTGTCCGCTGCCGTCACAGCCTGGGGTTGGGCAACTGGGTGGAAGAAGAAGGAGCATAAGTGCTGGCAGTGAAGGGATTCACCCAAGAGCCATGGATCTGCAGGGCTGGCTGAGGTCCACCTCAGCTCCTTCCGTCAGACCTCAGTATGTCTCTATATATTTGCATGCAAATAAACCAGCTTTTTCCGTGTCAGCTCCCCTTCCCCCCCGCCCTTTTTTTTCTCCCAAAAGATCGCAAGGATCCTTAAAAAAAACCTGGAAACATGGAAATAACTTGTGGAAAATGTGAAGAAAGCATTTGGAATACGGAGCTGCTTGGTTTGCTTGGTGGCAGTGGGAGAACTGAAGCAGCTGGTTGGGTGGTATGGACAAACAGGCATGAGCACCCTGTCTGGGTGCTGCCAATGTGGATGATATTTGCAATACTGAAGCTGTGGGAATCAGCTTATTCCTTGAAAGCCTCAGATTTCAGCTTTCTGAAATGGTTTTCTTTATTCCAGTCCTTGTATCTGCAAATATAAGCTTGGAAATACTGCTCACTCCGCAAAGGGAATAAAAATAATCTCTGATTGATGTGCCCAAGGGATCCTAATGTGAGGATGGGCAGAAGCTGCCACATCCCACCTGCTGCATTTCCCCGCTTCCTTCCCTATGAATTGCCCTTGCACAGTGATGGGAAAAGATGCCATCCCTTATGGGTATCCAGGGAGTAAAACCCAGTCTGTGCCCGAGCAGCGGGACTCTCTCACAGTCATGCCCTGCCTGCCCAAGGTATGCAAGAGAGAGGGATGTCCCAGGACACTGCAGGGATATCCCGGGACAGTTCAGCTCAGGCTGGGAGGTGAAGAGGACTCAATGGGCTCACCCTTGCATGCTCTTCACAGCCACAACACCCTCACAAACACAGTGAGCCCTGAAGCCAGCACTGATATGAAGATGCTCAAGCAGCAGTGATGTATGTGGTACCCACTTGTACACCAACAGGAGGGTGACAGAAGTCAGGAGCATCTTCACAGTGCCTGGTGATGGCCCCAGAGCTACACCCAGCCCTGGAGCATCAAACAGATACAGTGGGCAAGTCTGCTCCTGTGTTAACTATAGCGATTCATTATAGCCCTTAGGCCAGAAAGGAACAAGGATGCTAAATAGGAAGAGAAGGCTAAGGGCTGCCCACAACACCATTTATTTATTCCAAGGCTATTTCTGTCTAGGAAATTTCTCCACCCTTGTAATTCAATTAAAGCACAGGAGGAATTCAAGGCTCTGCCTCAGAAATTGCTATTCACATCACCTCTGGGTTTTAAAAAAGCCTTCAGAGCTTTGCACAGGGCAGCTGGTCTGTGCTTGGCTCGTTTAGGGGAGGTGCTGCTGCTGCTCTGCCCCCACGGATCTCCTCCCTGCCTGTCTGCTCCCTCACCTTCCTGCTGCATCACCAGATAATGAGCTGTGTTGTACAGGGTCAGCAAAACCGTGCCTGCCAACCCTTCCCTGTTTAACATATAGGAAGGTCAGATGCACAGGAAAAGCCAAGAGCAGCAGATTTACTGGGATGTCCTGGTCATAACCTCCAGAATGATCCCGACCTTCCATTAGGTCAGAGCCAGGTCCAAGCTGCAGCGTTTGGGTCAGACTCTAAACGTTAACCACTAGTTTGGAGAACAGTGTGGATGCAGAGTGATGCTCCATCTAACAGAACAGATCTGGGTCTGTATTCCCACCAGTGCCATCACTATATAGACACGAGTGGGGTTAGGATCTCTCTCCAATCTAAAATGCACCATGACAGCCTCCATCCATGAATCCTGAAAGCACCAAGCTCCCCAAAATGTTCCCTTCATCACTTCAGAGGTTCAAGGTCATATAGGAACATATTCTTCCTCAACAATCTGCAGCTGTATGAGGACTATGAGGACAGGGGTTCTCTTTTGAGAGCTTTCATATGAACCACTTAGATGAGGCAAGACCAAATCACAGTAAGAAAGAGGACTACACCTCTAATCTTTTAAAATGTATTTGCTAACACATTTTGTCTCCCACCAGCCTGGCTGTGCTGGGTGCATATTTGATAGGTTTTGGAGGCAGGACTTACGTGAGCAGCTCTTTCTTGATGTCCTTGGAGAGGAATTTAAGCTTGAAGTTGGTTAAAGTAACTTCCCCTGGGTATTTTCGTTCCTCAAAGTTTTCCTCCGACACTTCTTGCTCATCAGCTTCCGAGGAGGCAAAAGAGTGGGCAGCAGGCTCTGACTGCAAGCAAACAGCCAGGGAAAAGGGTTTTAGTGGTGGTCATTGCTGCTGAGCAATGGGAAAAGGTGAGAAAGGATCCCAGGTTCATCCTAGCTGAGGGTTAGTGCAGCGTTACCCAAACCAGAGATCCAGTAGTCTGTAATTTCCCCTTTTTAGAGCAGAAATGTGTAAACCACGTTTGTACAGGGATTTATATCTGTCTCTCCCAGTGTCTTGAAGGGATGAAGATGAGTGTAATCCCCCCATACTCATCCTCAGCAGCACCTGCCTGCAGAGGGGCAGCGCACCACTTCCGGGGCCAGAATGCTCACCCCAGTCGGGAGGCAATGGCTGGGTTCCTCCCCCTGCAGGGTTAATGTTAGTGGCACACAAGACCAGATCTGCTAATGGCAGGTGTAAATCATCCTAGGGAACGTCACTAGGAGCACCTCTGGTGCACATGAGCTGAAAGGATTTACAAGAAAGAAAGCACTGCAAGAGCACCCCAAGAGCATCTGTCTCCTGCCCATATTCATAGCTGGTATCTGGCAGCACTGATGAAGCTAATATTTATCTCCTAGGCTCAAAGGAGATAGATTTCCCTCCATAATCCCTAGTTTGGGTAGGACAACTGTGAAAGCAAACATGGCATTCACCTCCCATGAGGTGACAAGAGTCGCCACTCACCTCTTCTGGCTCCTCTTCCCGCTGGCGGTTTGGTTTAGTGTAGTCAATGGGCCCATCCCATTCATCCTGGCGAGAGGTCTGGCTGGACTGGGGAGAGGTCATGGTGCTGCTCGTGGCACTGGTGCTGTTTTGGCGCTGGGACACATCTGGGGACTTCATGCTGGGACTACTGCTGCAGCTGCTGCTGCTGGGAAAGGTGCTCTCCCGCTTGCGGTGCTTGTTCATACTCAAGTCCAGAGTCCCATTTTCATCCACCTCAATGTCCATGGACTGAAAGGTTGGAAACATGCCCAACATTAGCAGCTGCCAGCAATTCCCAGGGGCCATCTTGTCCCATTTGTCTTTTGCAGTGCAGGGGGCAGGTTATTCATGTCCCGTCCTCTCCAGGATAGAAGGAACTGACTGAAAAGGGATGCCCTTTCACAAATACTTCAGAAACATGCCCTGTACTACCAGCAATGTGGCATTTTGGCTCAGTTGCTTGAACACAGGCATCTAGTGCAATTTAGGATGTCCCATGGTCTCCAAGGCATCTGCCCAAGGCTGGGAATGCAACACAGGACTTGTGGAAAACCTGCACTCCTCTGAAAAATAGCTGGAAGTCAGCCTGGACACAACTGGGGAATCTCAAGTAGCATCAGACACAGACCAGTGAGCAACTGAAACCAGCTCAGACTCTGGCTGGGAACGATGCTCATCTCAGACGGGTAATTAGAACCATGATTCACCTCCATAACACACTAAGAGCCAAGATTACCTGCTCCAAACTGCGCCACCCAAAGCAGGGAGTTAAAGGGTGATGTGATGAGTTTCTGCATTCCCTCTGTGAGTGAAAATGAAAGGAAGGCTAAGAAAGGTATTTGTCCCACCCCAAACTTCCAGCTTTAACCCGCTCGACGGCAGCTGGAGTTGTGGTCACGCTCAGCTCACCTTGCCAGGGGCCTCTTGCTGCTTGGTGCTGAGATTCTCTGGCATTTCCCAGCAGCGGGTGGAGAGGTTGAGGATGGCCGTGGCAGCCATGTGCGCAGCCTCCGCGTCCTGCGAGTAGTCGAAGCCTGTGGAGGAAGATGAAGTGCTCTTCACGTAACTGCTGGAGGGGCTGTGGCTGGGGGAGGAGGCCTTTGGAAAAGGTTTGGCTGGAATAAAAACAGAAGGAACAACACAAGGTTAATGTATAACCAGCACGGACGCTGGTTAAGAGCTTAAGTCAGTCTGACACAGCCCCGTGTGAGCAGATCCAGGGCAGCTTGTGGTTGTTACCAATCCCTGGGCTATTCTGTTGCTTTTGAAATGGTGTGAAAACCTAATTCATTAACGACTCTGCCACCGAGTCCCCAAAACATGAGTGCTTTTCTTCATTAAAAGCCACTCCTCGGTCAAAGTGGTAAAAGGAGAAAGCTCAGAGAAGCTTTCCAGCTCTTTCTTTATTGTTCTCTCTTGCGTTCATAACTTATCTGCGGAGCTGACATACGGGGAGATTTCTTGTAGCACGTTTGAAAACTTACCATTTAAAAAATTCCATTAATGGCAAAACCATGGCCATGAAATATGAGCTTCCAATGATGACACCAGTGAAATACGGGTTTTCTGACAGCTGACATGTCATGAAAGTACGCCTGAATAACAGGATTTATTACACAGCCACGACACTGCTCTGTTGCTGTATAACACAGCACACAGCGGTGCAATCCTGGATGCAATTTCCCTATATACCCTGTGAAATGAAAGTGAGTATTTCCCAGGGTCAACCCACAATAAAACTTGCCCTGATCCTGAACCTGGTCCTGACTAGGAAGGCCCCGACACACACTTAGTCCCTCTGAAGTCTGTAGTTTCAGGGGATCATCTGATTTTGATCACTCTCAGGATTGTATTTTGAGTCAATCAGCAAAATCTTCAAAATCTTTATTCATTTCATTACACCCTTTTTTGGGGGAAAAAAATGCCCCTTTCAGTTGGAGTCTCACCCAAGGAAGACTCAAGCTTTGGCTTGATGGCAGCAAAACATCAAGACAACCCTGGCTGATGTGACTACAGAGCAAAGCGAGTTCATTATTCCCATTACAAACTCATCATATAAGGCACTATAAAATGCTAATCTTCCCAAGGACTGCTTTCTCCCTCCTTGTGTGCGTATATAATGCATATTGACATTAATGGCAGTTATGCACACACATGCAGGGCAATATAAATCCCTCTGGATGCAGATCTCTTTCAGATAAGTTCTCAGTGAAAGGAACAGATTTCCCGGCTATGATTGGCAATCATATTCATCTTGTCTCTCCGATTAATGCACTGGAGCTTTGCCCGAATGGTTATTCTTGTGCATGGCTCCTTGGTTTCAAGTCCAGTTTAATCCATGTCTTTGCAGCGGGATGCGGATATTTGCCAGCCCAACCTGACAATATCCCGTATCGTGAGATGCCAATTTCAATTTCACACCGGAGGCTCAGCGATGCTTTTCCATTTCATAAGTATTTCTACCACTAATAGACTCGCAATCAGCAAATTAGTAAAATAAGTGAGGAGAAAAAATAGAAAGGATTATCCTAGTGGGTCTGCTGGAATTATTTTTGTCAGTACAATTACCCTGAAAATTCTTTGCTAATATTGCAAATAACACAATCTATTCAGCAAGAGAATCACTTGTGCTGGGAAACAAATTACTTTTCCATCAGCCCTAACCCAGGATGACAGTGGCAGTTGTGCTCTCTGGCCTCCATCCAATTTCATTGTCTGATCCTCTACAGATTTAGTACTGCAATAAAGGGCGCTTCCATTGTAGTGCAACAACCGGGATGCTTTCAAGTACGAGCACTTTTTAGAGAGCAGCTGCATCAGGATTAAGCAGGATTGTGGAAGTGGGATTAGGCAGACAGAAAACCCTCTCGAGGCTGCTGACTTCTGCAAACTAGGCTCCTAAATCTTATTTTTTAACTCTCAAAAAGATGTCTTCAGGTGCACATTTGGTGTCGAAGGGAAGGTGGATTTTAACATCATCTGTCTCTCCATGCAGCATCCCTCCTGCTCCTGGCAGCCCAGCCCCTGGGGGTTTATTTAGCCATTTCATTTTCACCCAAACAGTGTTGTAACCAGTGCAAGGTCCTCGGTACAGAGCAGAGGTGGGTGGCTGTGATAGGAAAGAGCTGAGAGACAGGAGGTGGATGATCGATAGGTAGCAGAGCTGGAGAGCGGAGCACAGCAGAGAAGACAAATGGGTGGAGTGGGTCATATATAAGATGGAAGAGAAGAAAACTGTAATCCATTTAGCTAGATGAGGAAAGACAGATCGATAGATATGAACTGCAAAGCGACAGGCACCGACTGAGGACAACTGTGTAACCTACCCCACCTAGACACATCGCTCAGGTTAATATTCCCACCCAGTTCTCCCCCTGTTCTGCAGCAGCAGGAGGGATCCAACACCCCAGCCCCAAGACTCTCCCGTCACCCCAAAGCCACGATCCCAAGAGCTTTGCAACACACTGAGAAAGGCAGAAAATGCAGAAACCAACCAGCCCATCCCTGCTCCCAACTTACATTTAAAGGCTTTAGGTGAGGTTTCGCTAGTCTGAATCTTTGGGGCAAGCATGCGTTTGCCAAAAACCTGAGCATCAAAACTTGCATAATCGAAGGTGACCTTGGAGTACTTCTCCAGCTCCTTGGCCAGGTTGGCCCGGGGGGTTGCTGGGACCATGTTGGGCCGGTAGCTTCCGTACTGAGGAATCTCCAGTTGCTTCACAAAGCACATAGGCCTGAGGATGAAACAATGAGCAACAGTGATTTCCCTTTTCCTTGAGATGGAGGGAACCAGATGCAATGGGGATGCATAGCCCCTGAAGGGCTACTGAGGAAGAGGGGGCAGTGATGTTCCTCTTGCTCTAGTGTGCATCTAGTTTGGGTCTCTTGGATTCCTTCTTTTATTTTTCCCTGTTTTCTTTTTTTCTCTTTTTAAGCAAAACACCGAGGTGTCAATCTCATCCAAACCAATATCCTTGAAGGCTGCTGTGGCGTGGCAGCATTTTCCAACAGCACTAGACACTTGGGCATTGCTCATTTAGGGCACCCATGACACAGGATAGCACATGAAGATGTGAGGAGCCCAGTTTAGCTCTGCTCTGTGCTGCAGGTTCATTGCAAAGGCATCAGCGCCTCTCCCGTGCCTGTAGAGTCCTTCTTAAAGACCTGTTTCTGCTGGGCTGCCTGTCATGAATCAATTTGTCTTGCATATAAATTGTATATAAATGGCCTACTGTTATTCTCCTTCCCTTGACCTCTTTCCACCAGCAAGTCCTCAGAGCGGGAGCTCCTCGGAGCATGGACCATCCTCGTGATGGCTCTGCTGCAAATAAATAAGTAATGGCCCTAAACAGCCTTTCCAAAGCAGCGAGTGCTGGTGCACCAGGGTGCTCAGCAGTCCTGGGGAGCAAAGAGATAAATTAATCAGACCTTGAAGCCTTTGTGGGAGTGCTGCTCAGCGCTTGTACTGTGGGGTTTGTCCTGCTCTCGTTGCAAAATAACTAACCATATTACACTCCATCTGTAGGCTCATGAATCACATTGGCTACGGAAGCCAGCAGCTATCAGGGACATCCTTAATGTGAGACAGCCCTTTCCGCTGGGAATATAGAGGTGGGTGAAACAACAGAATAAATGTGACTGGTTTGGAAATGGGTGGCAGGTTCCTCTCCTCTGAACCATGTGGGCTAAGGGAGAAAGCAAGTGGACTCATGTGAAACTGCTATTGAGTGATTTATATGTAGCTTAAATCTCCTCCTCCTGCTCCCTGAGCCCACCCTACTTATAATGCTAATATAATAGCCATCATTCTCTGGCAGTTTGCATTGCAGAGCAATCGGCACAAATGCCTTCAGCTGCACTGGTGAAACCCTTTGGCCTGTAGCCTCAGCATTAATTGATGCTACAGAAGCAATTCATTGTCCTCAATGCCCTCCCTGGGATCATCAATTAAGTATCTCCCCACCTTGGCGAGACCTATGATGATAATAACAGGACTCAGCAGTATCCAAATGCAGCCGGAGGGAGCTGTGACGGCTGTTCCTGCGAGCGTGGCAGCACAGGGAGGGCTGGGGCAGCATTACCCACCACGGCCCCACTTACCTGAGTATCCGGTCAGAGTTGGAGCTGGTCTTTGAAGGATCACCAGACTGGGTTTGTTGCTTTTCATGTGATTTGGCTAATTTCTCAGCAGCAGCAATGGGGCACCCAGATAAACTGTGGGAGGGTTTTTTAAAGGAAGAGAAAAACAGAGAGAAGGAAACCAAGCATGAGGGATGAGCGTGGAAAACTTCATCTCAGGGACCCACTGAGCCCATGACAAAAGTGTTTGCATTTAAAGGCTTTTATTATTATTAAAATTATTGTTGATAATTATTATTATTGATAT